GGGGGACGCAGGGGGGGGGGCGGCTGCTGGGGCCTGAAAGGAGGTGGGCAAATTAAATGGTGGGCAAGGAGGAGGGGGGGCTCTTGGCACAAGACGCAGTTTGCCAATGTCCGGCTGCGTAGGAGGAATTCCAAATGTGAAGGTTGGCACCTGGGCGGGGCCCCCCCCCCCCCCCCCCCCCCCCCGCCTACTCCTCCTTTGGCTTTTCCACAGGCAGGAAAGGGCCTGCTTGGAGCTCAGGATCGCCGAGGTGCTTCTTCTCGTGCCCCGGTTCAGCCTTTGTCCTCGTCCAGGAGGGCGAGCGGAGGTAGCCAGCTCGGGGGGTCGAGTGGGGATGCAGTCCTGTGCAGGAATAGGAGAGGGGGGGTCCCCTTTAGCTCTTTGCGGGCCAGACCCCAGCGGCTCCAGCTCCCCGTTCAGCCCCGTCTTCAGAGAGAGGCTCCTGTGGGGGCTGCAGACTTCCCCAGTTCTGTCTCCTCCACAGGAAGCTCCCCCCCCCCCCAGCTTCTCCACCCCCCCCTCCCTTGCTGGCTGATTCCAACTAGGCAGCTTTTCCTTACTGCTTGGCCTGTTCCCACCTCAAGGGAGGTAGATTCGCATCTCTGGCCCTGGGAAGTGGCGGCAGCAGCTGCTGCCCCCCCCCCGCCCCCCCCACCTCCAACCCAGCATATTAGCTGCAGCATCAGCAGCACATTGCACTGTCTTGGGGGAGGTGGTAGAAGAGACAGTACGGTGGGGCGCAGGGCCATCAAGGCAGCTGCTGAGCTCCCGCCTGCTGGCCCTGGCGCAGTCCAGCTGTTCCTTGGTCTCTTGTGGCCTGAATCAGGGGCCCCCTTGGCAAGCTGGAGTTAACGATGCAACTTGCGTGCCTGGCTGTGTCTGTGTAAGAGACACACTGTGCGCATAGCTGTGCACGCTGGATTAAGCAGGTTTCATGCAGCACTGGCTGCCACGCACACCTTGCTACCACCCCATGGCCAGGTGGCCTCTCTGCCACAGCCAGGAGAGCTGAGCCAGCATCCAACCGAAGTGTGTGCAGCCTGTTGGATTATGGCCACCTGGACGGGGGAGGGTGCTCCAGATCAGCAGTTGCCAACCAGTGGGCCGTGGCTGTGGCCGTGGCCCACTGGTGGGCCCTGAGAAAATTTTGGTGGGCTGCAGAGAAATCTCACCCCCAGAGCACCCCCACAAAGCAATTAATCCAAGCTGTACAAAAACACAAGGCTGCACTGCCCACATGGCTCGCAGGAACCCTCCCTGCCCTCTCACTCCTTACCCGGTAAATTTGCCTGCTAAATGCTATTTTCCCTTTTTCCGACCATCATCTGTTCTGCTGTGCCGGGAGATTTAGATTAGCTAGGAAGCAGGAAATGGTTGGATTTCTTGCTTTCTAGCTAGTCTTTAGATCTTCGGCTCAGCACAGCCAAACCTCCCTTAGGACTGAAGGTTTGCTTGCAAGCAAATTCAGTGCAGACTCACGGCAAGCAAATTTGAGAGACTGAGCTAGCCGATGGCAGATAGATCACTGAATGATTCTATGAGCAACTCAATCTGCCTGCTTTGCCTGATTTGGGGTAAAAGTTGCTCTTTTTTATAAAACATTCAATATTTATATAAATACTTATAATATTTACATACAAGCCATGCCCAGCCGGTCACATGACCACAAGCCACACCCACAAATTAGGCCATGCCCACAGAACCGGTTAGTGGTCCCTGGGATCTAAAATTATGAGTTTGGTGGTCCCTGAGGTCCAAAAGGTGGGCGACCCCTGCTCCAGATCATGGGGCTCACCCAGCTGCCTAAACTGAGGAGAACGGCATTGGTTGCCTCCTTTCAGAGGCCCTGCTTCGCTCCCCCACAGCTGCCTTCAGTGGTATGTGGGGGCCCCTTGTCAGTGGTCGAAGGAAAGAGTCCTTCCAGTTTCCCCCTTTGATCGCTGGAGGACCAAGAGGGTCAGGCAGAGCCAAAGGCAGCAGGGGGCAGCCCCCCAAAGCAAGCACAGGAACCTCGGTGCCAGCAGAGCCTCAGCTGTCACTCACAGCAGAGGATGTGCTTGTCACTGAATGCCTCCTAATCAAAACACACACGCACACACACAGGGGTGGGAGGGGGGACTTACCAGCAGTGGGTTCTCTGGCTACATTCTCCTCATCGGAATCGGCAAAGACCTCTGCCAGCTCTTGGTCAGACATGTCCGTCAGCTCCGTGAGGTCCAGCAGGTCGAAATGCACCTCGAGAGACGAAACGCTGCTCAGGGGTTCTGAGAAGAGATTGGGGGGGGGGAGGGGGAGCTCAAGATCTTTCTCTGGAGCTTCCCTTTCGGAAGCCTCCCTCCCCCCACGGCCAGCCCCCTACTTACGCCGGCGCTCGGCAACCTGCAGCAGCCCTGAGGTGGGGATTGGGGTCCCTCCTTCCTCCTCCGCCGGACAGCTTTGGGGCTCTTCTACCAGCCCGTGCATGGAGAGGGTGATGGGGGTCTGGCCCTCCAGTTTGGGGGCTTCCTGGGTCAGCTCTGAAATGACAAAACGGGGCATGAGGACAGAGAGGCCCGGCCTGCTCAGCCTCACCCAGGAAGGATGAGACTTTGCCGGTTTCAGCCTCGGCCTCTTGCCTCTCTAGGGGGCCCACCTGGAGGGGGCTCCTGGGGTCTCCTTTGGGGGAAAGGCCCCTCCCCTCCCCGGCCTCATCAGGGCCTTCCTGATGGGCGTGGGCTGCCGAGGGGCTGCCCTCCCACTGTTCTGTTGGGCGGTTCCTGCCTGCTGGCTGCGTGTGCAGCCACAGCCCCCACCTCAGAGAGACCCCTCCAGTCCAGACGGCGTGTGCAGAGCTGATGAGCAGCAGCTGTTGGGTACCAGGAACCAAGGCTCCGCTCGGGCCCCCAGCCTCGCGCCTGCAGAGACAGAAGGCCGCCTTCTTTGGGAGCAGGTGGCAAGAGGACAAAGGCTGATCTGTCCGCGGGGGGGGGGGGGGG